AATAACCGTATTTTTTTTTCTGTATGACAATCCTTCATAGATAGTGGATTAATTGTATCAAAAATAGAACCACAGTCCGGAAACTTTATCTCATCTTCATTAGCACACCCAAGTGCTCCACGTAAGACTTCAGAACCTAATACTATAACTTGATCATCTGACCAACATTTTTCCGTTACTACCTCTCGATGTCTATTTTCGCCTATGCAGACTGGAACAAAAGTCGGTAAGCGACAAACAGCCATATCTGAAGAGTTACGTGCACCAGTAGCTAAAATTGAACTACTCCGATTTATTTCTATAGTAGGTACACTGTCTTGTACTTCAGAGTGGTTAATATCTCTATTTGGTAATGTTTGAATTGCATCCACTCGCCTCATGTTTACATCATGCTTTAAAACATAACTGGGAGTTTCTTTATACTCTACACTACGTAAATCCTTAAGTTCCTCTTGTTGATATAACGTTTCTACTTCACAACCAAGATCATCTGGTTTGTCTGGTCTAACACGATCCGCTTGCTCTTCCACCGGTAATTCTAGCCTGTGCGCTGTCATTGAAAACATTTCTGGTATACTCCACTTTGGTAACTTTACTTCTTCTGGCGGTGCTACTGTTTCACCCCTAGCTCTGCGAAATGCGACCATTTCCTTGCGCATTTCAGTCATCCGTATTGCCAAATCCTCGTTTCGTTTCATCATCATATACATCATTTGTTTTAGTTGCTCCATACCCACCTGTTGAGCTCGTCCAGCTCTATTCGGTTGAGCTGTATTTTCAAGTTCTATTTCCATGGCAAGTGTATACTATCTCCCAGTATTACAAACTCTTGATATACTTCTGGTTAGTCGCTTATTTTCGTTCCTATTGCGTGTATTTGCTTCACCTGTAGGAGTAAACCACTCGCGATCGCTCTCCATGAATCAGAAACAGAATAAAACTAAACAAATTCGTGTAATTTGAATTGTAGCAAAATAGGAAATGTAACTAATTACTGTTGTCTATTTACCCAACTAATTCACCAAAAAAAAATTATACACTATCTCTATTAATTCAAACCGTTTATGCAGAAACAATTTCATAAAAAAAATTCCAGTAATAAGTAATATACCAGAGTCAAAAAGCGAAAGAGAATTAAAGAAAGATTTTGACTACTTCTCTTCTTAATTAAATGTAAAACTTAATAAATAAATAAATTATTTCCAAAAAAAAATATAATATATAAACAAAAATAAAAAATAGATAACTAGAGATAAGGGTTTTAAAAGAAAAAAAAAAATCAACCACCATAAATAATAATGAATAATACTCAAAATTATTCAAACTAAACTTCAACCAAAATTTGGCATCAATAGGCAAAATCTTAATAAATACCAAAAGAAAAATAACTTCTAAAACAGGTTAAAGCTATTCAATTGGTATACTATACCTAAACGTAATCTAAATATAAAGTATTACTATTCAATTATATTTAAATGGGTTTTGTAATTTCTACAATATAATAATAATAATGATATAGATGACCTTTGGTGTATTCTCAGTGTTATTATCTCAGGGACAATGTTAAAAAAAAATAAAAATGAGTTGAGTCGCGTTTCTCTCGGTCTTTAGTCCCCCACATAAATTCTAAGAATTATTTGCTGCATTACAATTTGATGCAGTCTGAACTACTGCCAAAAGCTAACACAACTAAAATTCTACACCCACCCATCACAAGCCGTTTCTGAAGCAAGCCTCACAATCACAGGACGTCCTACTAAATGATCAGCAGCTTCAACTTCAGTCTTCATTCGTACTTTCTATCATTCACGCGCACATTCATATCACCTGCTGCTATACTGACTTTCACGTATAACGTTTCTGACAAACAGCTTCACGGCACCTCAGTATAGCTGCAGGTTTGCTTGTGATTTAAAAGAACAAAAAAAACAAAAACTTAATCACCTCAAACATATCCTGTTCGAATGTATGTTGTAGCGATCAAGCCAAAACACAAACCTAACACTAATTCTGTCAATCCGTCATTCGTGTCCTGTCGATGGTCAGTCGTTCGTATTACGTTCTGTTCTTTCGTTAGTTCCGTTCGTTGGGCGCCATTTTGTTAAGTTCAACATCTTTATATTCATGTGTGCAGAGTTAGAGTCTGGCACGGTGGCGAGGCCAGCTAGCTCGTCAGAAAAGGGTTGGATTCTTTACTCCGCTATAGCACATCCGAACCGTAACAAAAAAATAAAGAAAAATCGTGCCAGAGAATTTGGTTCAAAAAAATTACAATCAATGATAGTAATTTTATATAATATTAATACCTTGTGTCTATCAGTTTTTTTTTCTTCGTATTGTCCTTGTCCTTGTCGGTCGGTTTGGACCTACCCACCCTCACTACATTACCGTAGTTACCGTTGAGCTGAAGTAACAGGCCCTGTTAAATTCTCTCCAGCTCCCTATTTTCATGTTCGTCCCTGTCCTGTCTAACTCATTTTTATTTTACTGCAACCTAACATTGCCCCCTTCTTCACTTTCACCTGTCACCTATATCTATTGAACTTAAGCCATCATTTTGTTTGAATTTACTTCATTTACACATTTAGTTTGTTACACAAAAAAAAGAAAATCTTATGAATGGAATTATTTTTAATTTTGTTTCTTTTTTTCTTTTTATGGTTTATTATTTTATTATATAATAATACAAAAAAAATTCGACTAAACTAAACTAAGCAAAATTCTCTTCAAATAAAAAAAAAAAAATACAAAAGAATATATATATATATATACATAATGTATTCATAATAAAAAACTTACAATCTACTCTTACTATTTAATGCACAACTATATGTATATCCATAATATATTTATAATAAGAAAATAGATAAATATAACGAGAATAAAAAAATAGCTTTCTATACATCAACTTGTTGTTTTGTTTTTTTTTCCTTTTTTTTTTTTTTCTTTTACATTTAGACTACCAATATTTTAATTACTTTGATTACTCTTACCAACATCGTAGCAGTGACGTCACTCCGCGTTGCTGACCTAAATAGCTACAAAAAAAATTAAAAAAAACAAATTGTGGATAATCAAAGAAAAAAACAACAAAACAAAGACACCTGATGTGCTTGATCACTTATAATATATGTACATCATTTAAAGTAAAAAAATGTATATATTCTAATCTTGCGTGACTAATATCATATCCAAAATAAATTAACAATGAATATTATTTCTACTAATAATTTCATAAATAGAACTAATTAATTCAAGAAAATTAATAAAAAAAAACTTAATGTATATATAAAAAAATTCAAATTATTAAAATAAGTTGGAGAAAAAAAATTTTTTTTTTTTTTAATTTAGAAACAAAAAAAAATATGAGATTGAATATTTAAAAAAAATTGTAAGACATTATAGACGGCAATAAGTCATAGGTAATTGAACAACTGAGTAAGCATAATATAATTTATTGTTTAAATGAATTTAATGAATTTAATTAATTTAATCATAAGCATTAACGTAAAAAAAAAATCATATCCTGTAGCACTTCCGCGCGGTCTTAGTATTCTCCGTTGCTATTCTACAACTGTAAGGGTAGCTTACCGTACCAGTTGCTGTTAGATGTACTTGCAGTGAGTCCTAGGGCTAATTCCATATGTTTATCACTCCTTATTGAACTGGACTTATTACACATATAATACGGCTTGTTAGGTTGTTAAATCCAAGTTTCACCGACAGGTTATATTTATATATGGCTAATTCCATATGCTTATCAATCCTTATTGGACTTGATTTATTACACTTATAATACGGCTTATTAGGTTGTTAAATCAAAGTTTCACCGATATGTTATATTTATATATGGCTAATTCCATATGCTTATCAATCCTTATTGGACTTGATTTATTACACTTATAATACGGCTTATTAGGTTGTTAAATCAAAGTTTCACCGATATGTTATATTTATATATGGCTAATTCCATATGCTTATCAATCCTTATTGGACTTGATTTATTACACATATAATACGGCTTGTTAGGTTGTTAAATCCAAGTTTCACCGATATGTTATATTTATTTGAATTTTTTTTCGATCATCAATTTATTCAAAGTTTTGATCATTTAAACCTCCGATTTGTAAAAATATTTTTTTTTTTTTTTTTTTTATTCACTTTAATTATTTTTTTGTATTAATAATAGTTAATTTTAAATGTTCACTTTAATTAATTTTTCAATATATCGTCTCAAATTTTTCACGTCGCTCGCGGACATCAACCGTCTTCTTCCAAAGACTTCCTTTTTCCAAAAAAAAAACTGCAACCAATATCTCTATCTTATATCATTCTCCTCCCGTAATTTAATCCGTTGGACACTCATCCCGTACACTTTTCGGGGTCGTTCCTTGAACCTCCAGTTAATGTTATTTTTCTTTCCACCTTCCGAACACTTTTTTTTTCTTTTTATCTTATTTCAATACTTGCATTACACATTGCTCTGGCAGCATTGATCATTTCAACTTCCAATTTGGCCAAACTTTTTGCCGCGACTCTTGATCAAAACAAAAGAAAACAAAAAAAAAATGTACAAAAGCTTTTTTTTTCTTTTTTTCTTTCTTGCAAATTTTGACATTTCGCTGTGCGTGCAATGCACAGGCTAATTTTAATTTATAAAAAAAAATAAAAATAAAAATAAATAAAAAAATGAGTAGACGGTGTGTCAATAAAATATTACTGCCGCGAATTTGGACAAGGAAGTGCATGCTCACTTTACCAAAGGAATCACCGTGAGACAAGCAGGTGCTGCACTGAGACTGCCTGGACAACGTGGGACATGCGAGGTAATATCATGTTTTTAATTTTCTTACTCATGTTAGCCTATCACCTCCTACTCACACAGGCATACA